TTGTGGGTATGCGAGAGGTGACCCATCAATGTATTTCTTGCACATTGATGTTTTTCTCCTTTCTCCCTCCCCTCCCCTCTCTCTAAAAATAAATAAATAAAATCTTTAAAAATAAATAAACTGCCAGGTCTCCATAGTGCTTATCTTAGGAGCAAGGATAGTTAGGACACCTGGAATTACTAAATTATTTCATCATGAATATCAGTGCTATTTGAGACGTAATTGTTATGAAGAAAAAACCTTTGGGTGGAAAGAGACAAAACAGCATGTAAGTCACTGGCCTGGGCCATTTGTGCTTGGGCTTTGTTTCTTCTTCTTTTGTTTCAACTAATTTTTTGGTTTGGTTGTAGGAATCCATTTATCTCCAGGTGAATTTCATAAAGAAGTAGAGAAGTTTTTGTCTCAGGCAAATCAAGAACAAAGTGATACTATCCTGCTGGACTGCAGAAACTTCTATGAAAGCAAAATCGTAAGTAAGAACCCAAGGGGACTCCACACGGCACGGCACGTTCCTGACGCGGACACTCTGTGCCCGCCTGTGGTCAGGTCACGTGGCTCTCTCCCCACTGCTCTCGGCTTCCGAGGAAGCCCAAGCTGTGAACTCAGGGTCTGATGAGAAAGTCCAAGAAAACAGGAATTAAAGACATTCTGGCACGTGTTGTGTGTTCTGGCCCCTTGTGCCTCCCCTTGACGTGTGTCAGGGTCTTGTAAAGTTTGCCTCGGGCAGCCCCTCCGGTCCCCCAGAGACCTGGGAAGGGGACCCACCACCCACCAGCCTTGTCTCTGAGTTGCAGCTCTTGATGTTGCAAAGTCAGAGTGTGGGATGAGAGCAGCAGCCAGTGGGCGTTTCCTCGCCAAAGTGGGGGGTGGGGAAGGGGTCTCTGACACAGAAAAGGCACGCCAGGTACACTTTTCTGACCACGTTCCTCCCGCTCGACATTCTAGGGACACTTCCAGGGCTGCTTAGCCCCAGACATCAGGAAATTCAGTTACTTCCCTAGCTACGTTGACAAAAATCTAGAGCTCTTCAGAGAGAAGAGGGTGCTGATGTACTGCACTGGGGGCATCCGGTGTGAGCGGGGTTCAGCCTACCTCAAAGCCAAGGTGAGTCACCGGCCTGGCGGTGAAGAAGGTGCCACCACAGCATCGGCGGAGCGCCCCCCTTCATTCTCGCTCCCTCCTCTGGGGGTTTATTTTCCCCTTGTCCGCTGTCAGCTGAGAGTTTATGAGTACAAAATCTGATGTTCTGAAGTCCTAAAGTGTGAGAAACGCTTAATAGCCTTACAGACTCGTCAGGTACAAACGGGAAAAATTAGTTAACATCTCCCTCTGCCTACTGCTTCTGCTTGATCCTAGACGAGCAAATTCGGTAACATCACAAGTCCCAACAGGTGTCTTCCTATATTTAGGGGGCAGCAAAAATAGCTGAGCTTCGTGGGATCTGGACAGAGCAGGCCTTGCCTGCTGTCGTCGCCCATCCCCCGGTGGCAAGACCTGGCCAGTTGGTCCCTTGGGCCCTTGGTCAGCAGTTCTCAGTCCCGCTGCGGGAGCCAGGAGCCGCGCCTCGCGTCCCTCGCCACGCCCCCTTCCTCTGTGGCGCTTCTGGCTGGTCTCTGCCTGGCCCCTCCAATCCCCCGTTGTTTCCCACACACAGGGCGTGTGCAAGGAAGTGTTCCAGCTCAAGGGCGGCATCCACAAGTACCTGGAGGAGTTTCCCAACGGCTTTTACAGAGGGAAGCTGTTCGTGTTCGATGAGCGTTTCGCCCTGTCCTACAACAGCGACACAGTGGCAGGTGGGCGGGCTCAGGCCCAGGCCCTGAACTCGTGGCCAGGCTCGCTCTCCAAGTCAGACATCCGGACGGCAGGCCGGTGCCGATCACTCGGAAATAAAACGGGAAGGAGTTCTGTTTTAAAGAACTCCTTTGCTCTTTAGATCGCTTCCTAAAGCGATCTGTTTTAAAGAACTCCTTTGCTCTTTAGATCGCTTCCTAAAGCGATCTAAAGGAAGGAGTTCGTGGCACCGCGGTTGCCCGGCACAGGTGGAGATGGGACCGGGCTTCCCCGGGTGCTGGTTAAGCGAGTCCTCAGAACTGGACAACGCCCTTGCTCTGCCTTCCTGCTGGGAGTTGAACTGAAAGGCTAACTCAGGGGCTTCCCCTGGGTCAGCAGATCAAATTTGGGGATTCTGTGAAGTTAAGTGGGAAAATAATTATGATAGTTTTATCCTCATTCTCATAACCCTCACTAAATGTAACACTCCCATCCATTATGAATGGATGTAAGCAACAAATGACAGGTATTAGGTGTACCTGCAACTTTGTCAATAGAAATCACAGTATTTTCACAGGTTACAGTTGCTACCAAAATCTCAAACTCGCATTTATGTTCATCGTTGCTTCCAAATGGACATAGCTCTTAGGCCTACCACAAGGTCTTATCATTTAAGGTGCTAATATCTTACTATATTCCAGATTTTAAAAAATAATTTAGTATTTTATATTTTTATATAATTGGTTTTCTCTGTAAGCCTATATAGTTTACTTTATGCATTTAAAAAGTAGTTTTCTAAGAGCTCAAGCCTTCACTAGACTGCCAACCGAGTCCATGGCACAGAGCAGAAGAACCCCTCGTTTGGAGGGTCTGCGCACACGCGTGGTGTGCACTTCTCAGTGGTGGGCAGGGCACCCCGAGATGGGAGCTGGGCCTGGGCCGAGAGGCCAGAGGCAGGGGTGACCACAGGAACCCGTGGTTCCAGATGAGGGCAGGCAGTGACGCGGGATGAAAACAGCCCTCTGGAAAGACGGCTCCTGCCCCTGGTTGGCAGGAGTAGGAAGGTCGCAGGCAGAGCCCTAGTGGCTACTGCAGGTCTGGAACGGGCTCAGAGACCGAGACTCCATTACCGCTCAGATGAAAAATAGGGTCTGGGTTTGCCCTTTCCCCTTCTTGATCTTTCACTTAAGTTGGATCGTCTTGTATTTATGTAACTTATTGAAAGCTATGTCATCTGTTTTGGAGTTAGATGTATAAAGCGGAGAGGAAGGCTCAAAGGTAGCTTAGATCAACTTGGTAGAGAGACTTGAAGAAGAATGATGTTATCGGTGGTGACAGGTCAGCAGGGAAAATCCTGCTGAGAAAGTCAGTAGTTCAGGTTTTAGGGAGCCCAGTGCACAGTGTCCGCCAGCAACAGAACCAGGCCTGGGGAGGTGGTGTGGGCTGCAGGAGTTGAATGTGGATGTGGGATCATCTGCATTCGGGTGTGTTGCCTCCCGGGAAAAGGGGAGCGATCCAAAGGGAAGAGGCCAATGAACAAGGGGGTGGTTGGCTAGCTTCAGGGCAGAGAGTGTGTGTGTGTGTGAGAGAGAGAGAGTGAGTGAGTGAGTGAGTGAGTGAGTGTGTGTGTGTGTGTGTGTGAGAGAGTGAGAGTGTGTGTGTGTATGTGTGTGTGTGTGTGAGAGAGAGAGAGAGAGAGAGAGAGAGAGGCATTATACCCGTTTTCTAAAAGGGGAAAGAAAAATGGATCAGTGCATGTTGGAATCAGGAAGACCATTCCCTGAGGCAACCTCCCCCTCAAAAAAGGGGGGGAAGGGGAGCATTTTTCGTGAGAAGATAGGGGCTTACTATTTAGCAAATTGCCCAAGTGCGACGGGACACGTTCGATTCTGATGGGCTGAGAGTTGTAGTTAGGGGCTGCACAGGCACCTCTACCCGTGTGTGCGTGTGCATGTGCGTGTTCATAACAAAGACTGCTCTTCCTTCTCAGAGTGTTCATACTGTGGAGCACCCTGGGACCACTACAAGCTCTGCTCCACTCCCCAGTGCCGCCAGCTCGTCTTGACCTGTCCCACCTGCCAAGGACAAGGGTTCACTGCCTGCTGTGTCACCTGTCAGGACAAGGGGAGCCGGCCTGCTGCAGGCCCTGCCCAGAGCAGCTTCAAAGAGGAATGCGAGTGCACCGCCCGGCGGCCGCGCATACCCAGCGACCTTCCACGGCAGGCGCAGCTCCCCGAGAGCCCAGGGGCGAGACCCTGTGTCGGCGAGGACGGGCCACACGCGCATGGGCGGCACCATCAGCGTTTCCCCAAGCCTCCGCAGGGCTAGGTTTGAGGTGACCCTGTACTGGAGAGTGTCAAGGGGGCAGCAACAGAGAACTGGGGGACTCGGTGCTGGCCAGTGCCACCATGGCCACCTATACCTAACCAGGCGGGGGGGGGTCCACCAGCCTGAGACAGTCTGACTCAGAAAACTGGACAGCGTAGAAGCAGGTGAGCCACGGGGGTCCCAGAGCCGCTGGGGGACAGAGCCTGGGCCTGGTGACCGCTCTCGCCCTTTCTGTGCCGAGCAGCAGGCTCTTGGTGGTTGTTTTTCTTGCCACCAAACCTGTTTGTTCTGATGGCGAAAGTGTGAAAGCTGTGGCCCTGGAAGTGGACTCCTGGGAACCAGTCCCTGGAGGCCCCTGCCATCCACCCCGCCCCTCACTCGCCTCTCAGCTGAGAGCACTAGCCCAGGGTCTGCGGACTCCAGCACCTGGCCCGTCTCCTGCTTTTGTGAATAAAGCTTCATGGGTCACACCCACTTGTTTATATGTGATTTATGGCCGAATTAAGTATTTTCAACAGAAAGATTATGGCCTGTAAAACCTGTAATGATATTTACTATCGGGTCCTTCACAGAAAAAAAAGCCCAGCTCTTGGTCTAGATCAGTAGCTCGTCTGATGGTCTCAAAGATGTGGCCCCCCCTCGGTTTCTGTTGACGTGGTTTCGAACAGATGCTCCCCAATAATCTCTGCTTCCCCTACGCCTACCACACTTGGCTCTTAAGTATTTTTCTGGAGATTCAGATGACCCTGATGACACTGACATTTGGGCGGTGTCTCGAGTGCCACAGGACATAGGACACATTCTGAGCAAGGTCCGCAAGCACTGCTGTGGTTTCCTGCCTTGTCCAGTGTGTCCCCCCCCCCACCCCGTCACACAGGTCCCGAGACACATACGCAGCCATATGCATAGACCCACGGATTTAATGTTACGCTGCGGTTTCCAGTGATGCAGAGTGCGGCTGCAGGTGTGTTTCAAGGAGAAGCCGGTGGGGTGGCTGGCCCTGCAGCACGGTGCCACTCCTGGGCCCACGTGCGGCCTCGGCGACACTGCCTCGGGTTCCCCTGCACTGCCCACGTCGTTGCGGCTCAGTGTGCCAGACCCCTTTGTCATCGGAAGCCTGTCTGCTCGGTGCTCTGCAGCTAGTCTGTGCCGCCCACTCTCTGGCCTCCTCTCTGAGGGTGTGTCCAGTCTCACCCCCCGGGCATCAGGAGCGCCGCCCAACTGGCACCGCGGTGTGTGTGGTAAAAGGCACGAGGGCATCGTGGCTTCACATTGTCACTGGGTCCCAAGAAGTACATGTGATGTAAAAGGGGATGTGGCAGAAACACCAAAATTACACGTTCAAAATAATCTTGGGGTGGTTTGGCCAGGGCTCCTAATTCTGTAATGTCTGGGTCTGCACTACTGGCCTTCAGAGGCTTAATTTTCACAGGCATGAGATTAGCGGTGACTTGCCTGGTAGATGCTGCCACAGCTGGTGGAAGTCTCAGCACAGCCGAGGTGGACCAGAAACGTACCCGTCTGACATGTGACCTCACGTAGGCCGTTAGCCCACATGCAGTGTAGGAAGGCGTTTGCAAGGCCTTGGCCATAGGTTCTCCCATCCAGCGTAAGGTTGGCATTCGATAAAGAAAAAAATTCTGACTCGGTATTAAGTTGTAAATAAACCCCAGATGTCATAGATAACACTCAAGGCGCTGCTTGTTGCCTGGTAAAGAAAGGAGGGTTTTGGAACTTGGAATTTCACCGCTGGCTTTTCTGTCATTTCCTTGTCACCAGCAAAAGGAATCTCGTGTTCTTCGATTCCTGGCAGAGCTCTGTGGCTTTGGTCTGTCTGTCTTCAGGGGAAAAATTGTGTTCTTGATCCCAGAAGCAATTTGGCAACTTTAATCTCGAGGTTCTTAAACTTTAAAGGAGGGTTAATAAAGAACCTGTTCTGTTTGCTATAGTAACTAAGATCAGATTTGTAACAAAGTATTTCATAACTCTCTAAACCACGCAGAAGAGTGTGCTGCTCGTTCGTGAGCTAATGCGCTTTAAGGACACCGGCAACACCACATAGCAAGGCCGCTGAGCCCGGGCTTGTGGGGCTAAGTCACTGCTGCTATAATGTCATCTTCAGTAAGACCTGCCGGTTCAGGGGCTTCTTAGTTTTTAAATAATAGCCAGACTGAACTGTGACTAAAGAAAAACTTCACATTAACCATAGTTTATAAAATGTTCAACTATAACCACTAGTTAACCTAAAACCTTAGTGCATAAAGAACTGAACCACAAAAGGGTTTTGTGCCAGCACTCTGCCTTCTGGTTCCTGCAGCAGAGCACAGATTGTCAGGAGAGCACGTCCAGTTCAAGGGCAGGGTCGTCACCGCCATGCACTAGACTCCACTCCGGCACTTGGGAATGATGGGCCCGGTCAAGTCTGCAAGCCTCCTCTTCCTCACTGGAAAGGAATGGAGATGAGACATAAGCCACCCGTCCCTGTGCCCCAGGAGCCGCCTCTGGCTCTGAGGAAGCTCCGTGGAGTGTCTGCTAACTCTGGTTAGCAAATCTGAAGTCAGCTGTTTCTAAAGGACGGTCCCCTGTGGGCCGTGTGACAGCCCTCCAGTTGGTCGGCGTTGGCTGACGAGGGTCTGTGGTGCTGTAAACTCATTCATACACTACTTCTCAGCCACCTGCCTCGCAGGTGTCAAGCCCCTCTCTCCAGCTCCGACGGTTTTCCTTTGCGTACAGAGGGCCTGCAGTGGAAGACCTTTGCTCCGGTTCAGATGAGAGTGAATTTCAGTTGATCTTAACGAGACTAGGGCCTTACCCTGCTGCAGACTTCTCCCTCAGCCCTTTCCCAGAGCTCCTGGCCTGCCTCCTGCCTGAGTGAACAACCGCTTTTCTACCCTAAGTTTCCCCCACCCCATCTGCCCCTTTAAGTCAACCCTGACATTTCCCCAGGGGCAGGACACCGCAAGCTTGGTATGCAGTCAGCTCAGGTATGCCGACTGCATGCCAAGGTAGGCAAATGCCGTGAAGAAGAAAGCACTAGCCTAGCTGGGAGGCTGCAGGCTGGAGGCGCTAGCTTGTAGGATGACGGGACAGGGAAGGAGGGGGGGGTTCCCTGTAACCAGGGAGAGTTTTGAAGTGAATTAAGTGTCTGCAGATGAAGACCAAGCAGCAGGCTAGATGAGCCACAGGAGAAGGCAGTCTGCAGGGCTGGGAGGTGGCAGTCGGGGGCTGCTGGTGTGGCAGAGACAGGGCGCAGAGGCGCGAGGTCTATGCTCAGATGTCTTCCAGTTCCCAAGCCGAGCCACTAGGCCTGCGGCCACCAGAGCGATGCCTACGAGCTGCAGCGAGAACCGCGTCAGCTTGTGCAAACAGCATCTAAAACAGAACCACCCAGGAAGGTGCGTGACTCAGGTTGTGGCTAGGCCCTGGGGGGAGGGGCCCAGGGACACAGGTCACCCCGTATGGGGCCTGAGCTCCCATACACCCCTTCACCCCCATCAGAAGAATAATAGATGCAAATCAGTGGGCAGTCCCCTGGTGAGAGGACACAGTGACCAGATTCCTGGAACTATCGGAATGTCCAGCATCGGGTAGATGTGAAGAAACAAAAGCCCGAGGAGCGAGAGGGTTTCCGGCAAGGTGACCGAGCCAGGCGTTGAGGCTCGTCCGCCTTAGCTGTGCGAGAGCGCCCGCCGGCCGGTCTGCATCACACCTCCCCCCACTCAGCCCCTCACTGCAGCCCCTCCCGCAGCTCCAGAACGTCCAAGTTGTTACCATTCGTTCCCATGTCATGGATGAGGGGAGAAGGGCAGAGAGAGAGAGGGCGCGCTTCCTGCTCGAAGCCACACAGCTGGTGGCAGAGAGACACCAAGGCTTGTGCCTCAGCCCAGCGCCTCGCTCAGTACCGTGTGGGCCCCTGTCTGTGGGTGTTGCGTGACCACCTCACATCTGGTTCTCTTGGGGGGGTTAGCTCCTCTGCCCTGGGACGGGCAGAGTCAGGACTGGAACCTGGGTCCCCAGCCCGAGGATCGGGGTCCAGAAAGGGACCCCGTGTTTCTCCCCCTGTGGCGTGCCCTCCCTGCCTTCCCCAGTGTGGGTCTGTGCCAAGGCCCCTGCGCTGATGTCACGGACTGGGTGAGGGTGGGGAGAGGTGCCACTTACTCAGGTATTGTTCTCCCATATTAATGGTGAAGAAAACTGAGGCCAAGAGAGGGAAATAAGTTGCCCCAGGTCACAGTGAATAAGTGACCGAACTCGGAGGAGAAGCCAGGTCACCCAATATCCCCCTTCGATTCAATCTGCATTTTTCTTCCATGAAAGCAATCTCCTCCATGCTGCTTCTCACAGCGACAGACTCATTGCTGTCAGGGCCCAAAGGGACCCTGAGTCATCTGGACCGACCTCCACGGTGGCTTGCGCTCTCTCCGCCACTTCCCGCCAAGCTTGAGCACCTCCGTCATGTCTCTGGGAAGCATTTTACATTCCTTTTTAGGTGCAACAGCCTCTACTGAGTGCTATTATGTACCAAGCACAAGAACCAGGAATAAATATGTTGCTTAACAGCAGACCAGCACACACCAGCAATAGCTTGATGAAGCATTACAGGTATTCCTGGCAGGTCTGTTCAGTGTGAGGCATAACGAACAAGGTGGTCAGAGCTTCTGAGCTGGGCAGGTAACATCCCACTGACTCTTGCACAGTAGAGGGGTAGGTGGTGGGAAGCGAGTGGGAGCGTTAGGAGTGACGGCCCTTGATGGTGATGCTTTTGCCTGGGCCACTCGGAGGCACTCCGGCGGCCTGGAGCGGCTGCTCTGAAGGTGGCAAGATGGGGGCTCATCAGAGGTGTCAAGAGATGATGCTGGCAGGGCCTCACACAGAGAGGAGGTGGGAGTGCAGGCTGCGGGGCTGGGCTGCCGGTTCAATGCCCACCTCTGTCCAGCGACCTCGAGCAACCTCACCTACAACTCAAGGCCTCGTTTCCTCAGCATAGAATGGGGATGAGAACAGCACCTCCCTCAGCTGGGTGCTGGCAGCACCGCAGGAGTTAGTGAGATTGAAAGTGTTCACAGCAGTGCCTGGCACACAGCGGGCACCACGTAAGTACCAGCTAAGGTCATTCAGGGACTCGTGAGCCACGTCAAGGAGTTTAGGCTGAGAGCCGCGGGAGCGCAGAGTGGGAGGCCAGCAGAGGGACAGGACAAGCCTGGATGAGCACCGAGCCAGGGGGCCAGCCCTCGGGCAGCTGCAGGACCTGAGGAAGTTGCAGGGTGCCAGGTGACCGTGATGGGAGCTTGACATGGGCCAGGGTGAAGGGGATGGCAAGGAGGTGACTGGCTGCTGCAGAGGGACAGGCCCAGGTTTCTGGTCTGAATGGCTGTGGGGAGAATAGTGCCCTTTCCCGAGGTGCCTTTGGGAGAAGACTAGGAAACTGATTTGGGGTATGCTGTGCCTGGGGCGCTGGCTAGAAAGGTTTTCCTTGAGAATGCAGTGAAAAGTGACCTTCCCAGGGGGCTTTCTGCTTTTAAACATGTTATTCTTCCCCTGCCCCCAACACACACACACACAACTGTCTTGATGTGGAGGCTGCAATTCAGATTTCATTAGGTGGAGAGGACTTCAGTGGCGCATGTGCAGGACCTGGGAGCCAGGCTTAGCCTGGGTCTGAGGGATGAAAAGTGAGCAGAGAGGAGTCCTCCGAGATCACCAAGGGAGGACGTAGGCGGGGGTCCTCTGCTCCTCGCGGACACCACCGTGCCCCGGTGCCCTGCTCTCTCCCACGGACACTCTGGTGAGGGCTTGTGCCCAGGGTGGGAAGGATCGAAGACACACCAGCCAGGATGGGTCCCAGGCGGGCTGCCTGTTTGCCAAGGCACTGGGTGACCCACAGCCTTGGGGACTGAAGATCCCCCAAGACGAGCCTGCCGGCCTCACAGGCAGGCACCGCCCAAGCCCCACAGAGGCCTGACCGAGCATCAGGCTGGGAGCCAGCACAGGGCAGGGCAGAGCAGGAAGGAAAGCAGCGAGGCTCGGGCACTGCTAACCGCCACGGCGACTGCGGGACTGGCGGCACCCACAGGAGGCTCTTACGATAAAAATATTCAGCTGGGAAACCTAGACGCCTGCCTGCTTCACTGGAGCATCAAGAGCAAGATGAAACTACTGTGCTGGGAAGAAAGGATTTCTCTTTTACAGAAGGAAGCTAGTGCACTATCAGAATCAGAGCGTTTCTTTTACAAAAATTAGCAGATGGCCACCAATGTGCTTTTAAAGCTAGAAACCCTACACCACCAACAAGCGCTGAACATTGTGTGTAATCACTGAACTGATTCTGCTCTGATTCCTTCTGCACATTCCCTGGGGGTGACCCAGAGCCCCACTTTTATCACTTGTCACTCCTGTCCAGGAAACTGCCACCATTGCCTTCCCGCCTGCTTTCATCGCCAACTCCTCAGGTTGGCAGGAAAGGCCGCTGGCTCATAGCAGTCCCCCATCTACCGAGTCCCTTGTGAATACCTCGTAAAATGTGTCAATCATCCCGCCTTTGCCCATGCTGTTCCCTCTGCTTGAAATGCTGTTCCCTCTGCTTGAAATGCCCTTCCCTCTCTGTGTGTTCCTATTTTTCGTTCTACGTTCAACTCCCCAGAACAGTGCCTCAGTCCTTTTAGATCTTTCCGTGTCTCCTGCCCTGCGCCCTGGGCCCCAGCACCCCGCCTTTGCCCGTGCCGGCCCCCATCAGGAATGCCTCCCGGCCTCCCCGCAGCTGCGCTCTTCTTTCAAAACGACCTGAGGACCCGCACCAACCAGGATGCTCTGTTTAGGTGGACTTTGTTCTTGTAAATCATTTCCTCCCTTTATTTGGATACTGTTTCAGGCCTTCTTGAAATTTTGGGCACATCTTTATCTTTTCTTCCCTAAAAGGTGTAAAGGTTCTTGCCTCAGGGAACTGGCCTTTCTATTGCCCTGGGTGTCACTGAGGGCACTGCTGGGCACACGTAAAAGGTTCCAAAGGACTTGCTGTGACTAATGGCTGGTGGGAATCGACTGGGCCACTGCCCAGAAGACAGTCCCTCTCAGGCTTCACATTCTCTGTGAGGAAACTGGAGGGAGGGGCCTGAGGTCACATATCACTCAGGTCCTGCCACAACCTCAGGACATCCCTGGGGACAGGGGCTGGGCATGGATTTTGGAGTCACAGACCCTCAGGACTGGGAGAGCTCTCCAGGTCCATCTCACTAAACCACCAGCTGATTCCGGCGTCTCCCCCCGACTCCCTCTCTCAGCACCCCTGATCTCTAGTCATCTGGAGCCTTCTGTCCCCAGAAAAAGAGACCTCCACACCATCTTGCTACTGGAAGACCGCAGCTGGGTAGCCTTGAGATAGGCCCCCAGGGGCACACAGGAAACTTAACCTAAACTGGGAGGGAATGTCAGGCTGCTGCACACAGCCCACCAGAACTGAAGGCTTTTCAGTGCTCATTCGGCAGCAAGGGCAGAGCCGGGCCGCGGAGTTTGGACTGAGGGCCACCTCACCAGTTCCAGGCAGCCCCAGCCACTTCTGTGGCATAACGATCGTGATTCCCAGGGATTAGTGTTAGTTCTTATTGATTTCAAATCACGGCACTGCAGACAAACCAGGACATTTTCTGTGCGTCTGTTTTACGGACATTCCCACACCTGCTGCCCTGGAAAGAGGTGGCGCCGGGAGCGGAGTGATGACGGAATAGACTCTGGGCTGTGATACCCTCGAGAGCAAGCACCTGCTTCCTGAACGCCGTGTGCCGATCAGGACCGGGACAGTGTCCATTCCACCGACCAACTGGGTCTGCAGGGAGTGTGGCCCTGAGGTGACCGCAGAAGCAGCTCTGAACCCCTGTTTCACACATAGACATGCACCCCACGCTCTCACCTCCCTTCTCCCAGGCCTGCCTTCCAGGCGCTAACCTTGCTTCCAATCCATCACCCTGTGCTTTAGGCTCTTTGTATTTTACTGAGTGTTAGAAACAAAACAACAAAAGGCATGTGTAAAGCAGGCTTGAAGTTGATGAAAAACGTACTAAAAACATTATCCTTTAGAAAACAAAGTTATTTCATAATTCGATCCCACAAAGTAGCTAGCTTGCTTCCTTCCTTCCTCATTATGCTTCCTTCTCATTTGTAATAAGAATAATGTAACTTGGTTTGTCTTCTGCCTGCCTTGGCTCTACCAAATTCATGGCTAAGTATAATAATCAAATATGTTAACACGTTAGACTTCCTCCTTTCCTTTTTTTTCCCCTCCTACTTTCCTGCAGCCTTATCAGACACCCTCCCTTTTGGACACTATGCCAAGTTCTCTCAGCAGCCAGCAGGCACACATACGAACTAACCACACACAGAGTGAGAACAACCAGCGTCGGGAACAGTGGGTGGCTGATCTCACTTTTCACTCCACTGAATTAGATACCAACCGGGTGCAGGAAAAACTGACCTTTTCTTTCATTTTCTTTTTTAGAAAAGACAAACTATGCCTTTAATTGAGATTCAAGGACTGTAACCTGTTTACTGTGGAGTCAACATTTTTAACTGTTACCTTAAAAGCAAGGACAAACCTCCTAGGCCTGGGCTTTGAGTGATAGTGCTGGCCGGGGGCTTTGGGACCGGGGCTACGGAAGCACTGTGACCTGGGCAGAATTCTTGAGTTCAGAGAAGGGTGTTCGGAAGAGGAGACTCCTGGTGAGCCTTGGGTTCTGCCTCACTCAGCTGACGTGCTGAGGGTGCCTTCCGGGCCCACCCTGGACTGGGCTGGGCTGGGCCTTCCCACGGAAGTGAGAAGAGGGCCCAGCCTGGGCTCCCAGAGGCAGGCCCCTCACCCCCGAGGGAGGGGGCAAGGCCCAAACCCAGAACATGAACATAACCCACGTGGAAGTCGGCAGTTGGGCTCACCCACAGGACTCCCTGGAGAAGGTATCAGTGAAAATGCCCCTGCCCCCCACCACCCCAGGACAGGCAGAAAGATGACAGGCAGGTGGGCAGGGGGCTCAGTTCCACTCACCAAGGTCGTTGTTGTTCATCATGGCATTAGATGCCCGCAGCCGGGGCCCCTGCTGGGTGAAGTGGTAGCCGAACTTCAGAAGTGTCGTGTTTTTTTCCAGCATGCTCACGATCTCCATTTCCACCTTGTTGCCCAGGGGCTGGCTCTTTGGTCAAGAAAGAACGACAGTCACCACCCATTCTGTCTGTGCAGGATCTAAACCTTTCCTACCCAGCAGGAACCTGAGGGGTGGGGTGGAGGATTTTAACCCCACCCCTTCCAAGAGCAGGAAATGATAGTCTGGAGAAGGTGAAAGGTCACACGGCCAGGAGGAAATGAGCTGGGTTTCAAACTCAGGGCCACTGGACGCCAAGGACAGACCTTTCCACTGGCCCCATCGCAGCCCTCCTGGGTCTGAGCAGGGAAGGCCTTCACAGGACCTAGTCCAAGGAAAAGTAAAACTCCTATTCCCCGAGCTATTCCCTTATGCTAATTAAATCAGCATCACTGGGAATGAGGCTCAGGTGTCTGTGGTTTTACAGCTCCCAGGTGATCTCAGAGTAGCATCAGGTCTGTTGACCAGTCATTCAGACTCACCTGCAACTTACAAATGAAGAAGAGGAGGCCTAGCGAGAGAAGAGGATTTGCCCCGGGTGGCACGGGGAGGTGGGAGGCCAGAGTTGGCGTCCCACAGCCTGTTATGTCCCTGCCCCCAAATCTGCAGTGATCACCTGACAAAGATTAAAAACAAGAAACGAAAAGCCCGGCAGTGCACAGGGTCGGGAAGGACATGGGGATGTGCACCGGTCTCGCTTATAACAGTGGGGGAAAGGGTAGCAACCTAACATCCACCAAGAGGGACTCGCTCAAATAAACGACAGTTCAGCTTTGCAACACAACACGGTTGCTGGCCTGGGAAGGTGACCGTGAACCACACTAAGTAGAGGGAAAAAAGTCATATTGAGGTAGAAGTATCTTTATTCTTCATACACATATACATACATTGCCAGGGCCAGGGTGTTTACCAGGGGTGGTGGGATTTGGGGAGTTCTGTTTTCTTCTTGATACCTTATTGCAGTGTTTTTCTTTTACCACGTATGGGGGCGGGGTGGGGGGACGGGGTGAAAGTAGGTTCAGTGTTGTAATGCAAGTAAGCAATACAATAATAAATAATAATGCAAGAATAAACTCGGTTCAACAATAAATAACTGTAAACCTACTTTTGCCCACCCTTGTATAATAAGATAAGAATAAACATAAATAGGTTTGAAAAGACAGAGAAAGCAACATCATGGTTAAAGACTTTGCTGATCAGAGCAGGAGCAAGACAATGATGTTCCCTTTCACTGCAGGGTGGGGGGGTCCTAACCAGGGCAGTGAAGCAAGAAAAAGATAAAGGCATCCATGTTGGAAAGGAGGAAGCAGAATGATTTGTATTTGCAGATGACACAACACTGTAAACAGAAAAGCCTAAGGAATCCACAAAAAACTACTGGAGCCAGGAAACAAGATCGGCAAGATTGCAGGATATAAAGGACCAATATCCAAAAATCAGCTGTATTTCTGTACACTCGTAATAAACACTCCAAAGATGAAATTACGAAAATAATTCCATTTATAATAATATAAAAATACTTAGGGATATATTTAATAAAAGATGTAAAGGCTTGTACACTGAACATTGCAAGTAGCATAGAACATTACAGAAGATGCAAATAAACGGACAAACATCCATATCCACGGAGCAGGAGATTTACTATTGCTGAGACTGCAGTGTTCCCAAACCGATCTGGAGAAGAAGCGGAGAGAAACGTAACCCCCTCCCACATCTCCCCTCTGCCAGTAACTGCCACTCTGTGTTGAGAGCTTACTGTGCTCCCAAAGCCTTGGGCCCATCTCAGTTCATTCCCTTTAATAACCCAACAGGATAAGCCTCACCATCCCCCCAGCCTGGCACCCAAGGCTCTGCACGGTTTAGTCCTTGTCTTCCTTCCCTCGCTCGGTGCTCACTCAGCCTGTTTACCGCAGGACTCTGGTACATGGTGCCTGGTGCCCGCAGAGGTCGGCTTCTAAACCTGTGCCACCTCCCTCCACACGGGATGCCCTCACCCGCGTAGGCCCGCCTGCTGACGTACGCCTAGTGCTTTCCTGCCCATCACAGATGCCCCTTTCCAAGGAGGCCTTTCCCGACCCTTATCGCTGGAATAGGCCCTTTCCCACTCCATGCTCAAGTGGCACACTAAATGTCCCTCTCTCTCCCCGGCCTGGTCCGTCTGTCTTATTTGGGTCACCTGCCTCCGTATCTCCAATGAGCCCGGGTTGTTCAGTACAGCAGCCATTAGCCACGTGTGGCTCTTTAAGTTGAGACATAACTGACATAAAACACTGTACGAGTTTTAAATGTACAACATAACAATCTGCTCTTTGTATACGTTGTGAAAGGATTACCACAATAAGTCTAGTTAACCTCTGACACCACCCAGGATGGGCTGGTCTCAGAAAGTGCAGGTCCTCCCTGACTGGGACGGGGCCGGAGGCTGGTTGCCGGGGCTGCTTCTGCAAAGCCGACGCCACACGTGGCTCAGTCCAGGGTCCAAAGACCCCAATGGATGCAAACTGCCCCGTTCAATCTCCCTACATTCTGGGGAGGTGGGCTGGGCAGGCAGGACTCGGGCAGGCCGTTTACTCGTCTTAGAGATGAGTAAACAGGGTCCGTGTATAGAGGGAAGCTGGGCTGCGCTCCTTTTGCTCAATGACAGAGCCCAGTCTCGACCTAGGCCTGGGCCTGGAAAGACTTCGGAGCATCCTACAGGCCCACCCTCTCAAATAGCATCTTACTGTCCCTGAGACACACGCAGGTACGTCTGGGGGGTGGTGACAGGGTACAGGGTTCTTTTAGATACGCGTGGCTACTCTCCCTGGCAGGTTAGTAGTGGACCAAAACCACTACTTTTACAGGAGGGAGTGAAACAGAGAAGGTGCCTACTTCTTAACAAGCCTCACCCTGGCTTCGTTCTCAGGGCCCCCTTTCCCCCAGGGACTCTGAGACCAGGAGGCCTCGCTCTCACACAGGTGGGAGAAGAGCCCGCAGGACGGGGGTTGGGCTAAAACTCTGGTCTCTTACTTAGTTTTCAAGTGCTCATTATTTAGCGATTACCATATGCCAGGCAATGTCACAAACACCTTGCATACGCTGACTCACCTTCCCTTCACTATGAGCCTGGGGAACATGTGTTATTATTGCCCCTTTCATTGTACAGACGAAGAAGATGAAGAACAGAGGGATTAAGAAACTGCCCCTGAATCACAGAGCTCGTCAGGTGCAGACCAGGATTTGAACATGGGCAGTCTGCTTCAGAGTCCAGGCTAGTTCCCACCTCCCTCGGGGGCCCCCATGGGAGCTCGGAGGGCAGCTGATGGGAGGAGGCAGACGGAGTTTGGCTACACGTGCAGGACTGCGATCAAACCATCAGCAGTGTCTGCACCCGGGAGGAACCACCTGCTAAGGTAGTAGGCTGCCCGTCCCTGGAAGTGTGCAAATAAAGGGCAGGCTGTGGGCTGCAACGGGTCTGAGCCGGCATCACGAATGAGGAAAGCTTAGGCCCTGTGGCCTTTCTGGGTTCTGGGGCCTGCATTCTGTGAGTCTGAATAGCTCGCTTTGATGGCACAAAAAAATCAGGAGACGACCTTGGCAGTGGGTGAAAGGCAACCGGAAGCCCCTCCGGGAGAGACCGGGTGGTTGTGCCAGGACTGGCCACATCAGTCTCTCTCTGGTCCACAGCTGCAGATCCAGGGAGTTGGGGGGTAGGGGGAAGAACTCTTGTCTCCTTTCAGATTTGCTTAAGACTTACATAAACCATTCGTGAACAAATGTAGTCTCATTATTAAAAATCCACAGGATACTAAAGCAGATCACGAAAAATGAGTCTCCCTTCACCATTTGTCCCCACCGCCCCTCCCCTGCCTTCCACATAAGTAACCACCACAGCCAATTTGCTATGTGTGAAGTGTGTAACAGAAATATATAGCTTTTTATTTTTTTCTTTATGTGGATTAAAAAATATACTTATTGTTCTGCCACTTGCCTTTTCCGTTTAATATTTTCTGGAGCTCTGTCCAAGCCGGCACACGGGAAAGGAACCCACTCCTCTGAGCTGCTCCAGGGGCCGCCCCGGCACAGACAAGGGTCTGCTTCGCTTCCCCACCTCCTGTGACAAGCAACGCCCCAGGGAGCTTTGCAGGGAGTGGCATTCTTTAAGGTGGAGGCGGACGTATGGAACTGCTCAGTTAAAAGGTGGGTGGGTGTGTTTTGAATAAAAATTGTGAATGTCTTTCAAAAGGATCCAAATGCTGACCTGCCCTTCCGTGGTGCATGACAGCTCTCGGGTCCTCACACCTTTATGATGAGAAGATGATCGAATTCTCTAACAAAACAACCAACCAATGACTCGGGAGACGTGGAGCTGTGACCTGCTGCTGGTGGCTCTGAGACCCCCTGTCTGGCCAGGGGCAGCCTGGCCTGAAAGAAGCTCACTTTGTTCATCCGATAGGGCCAATCGCCTTTCCCTGGTGATCCAGGAACTCGGACGACTACAAACCCTTGACAATGACACAGAAAGGTGCCCCGGGAGTTTTCTAGTCCAACTCAAGTCCCAAACCCTGGCTGATATTAAAATTCTCTCCACATCACAGCTGCCACACTGTTCTGTCCGCTTACCCGTCCCCCATGATCGGGGCACATCACCCTCGGGAGCTCCCTGCTCCACCCGTGGGTAGCTCTGCTGCTTGGAAAGGTCTTTCTGGACAAACAATAGCAACAGAAAATAATACAGACCACTCTCACTCTGGTGACTTAAAAATATCTCTGCAAAATCTTTGCTATTTCTCCTTCCAAACGCAGAGCCTGATTCCACTCCCCTCGAGTTGCACCTCTGACAGACAATGGCAGGAGTGATGGTCTAGCTTCCAAGACTGGCTCATAAAAGGCATTCATGGTTTTCTTTTTCCCTCTGGCTCCGGCCACTCGCTCTGGGAGAACTTGGTCTCTACAGAGTGTGGACAGGGAGACAGCCCCAAGGTGAGGTCTACTGGGCAAAGAGCTGAGGCCTCCTGCTCACAGCCCAGAGGGGCCTGCCTTAGACGCAGTCCCACCAGCCCCACCCGGGC